CTACTCTACTCTACCCTACCCTACCCTACCCTAGTCTACTCTACTTTCTACAGAAACGTCAGAAGATTCACCTCAAACTCGCTTTGCTTGTTGTTTCTGTGACTGTGGTTTGGTGAAATCACAGATAGAGAAAGGAGAGAGACCAGAGAGAGAGAGAGAGAGAGAGAGTTCAGAGAGAGGCCGGAGAGAGAGACCAGAGAGAGGCCAGAGAGAGAGACCAGAGAGGGACCAGAGATAGGCCAGAGAGAGACCAGAGAGAGAGAGAGAGAGTTCAGAGAGAGGCCGGAGAGAGAGACCAGAGAGGGACCAGAGAGAGATCAGAGAGAGAGAGAGAGACCAGAGAGAAACAAGAGAGAGACCAGAGAGAGGCCAGAGAGAGACCAGGAGAGAGATCAGAGAGAGGCCAGAGAGAGACCAGAGAGAGAGACCAGAGAGAGACCAGAGAGAGGCCAGAGAGAGAGACCAGAGAGAGACCAGGAGAGAGATCAGAGAGAGGCCAGAGAGAGACCAGAGAGAGAGACCAGAGAGAGGCCAGAGAGAGAGATCAGAGAGAGGCCAGAGAAAAACCAGAGAGAGACCAGAGAGAGAGACCAGAGAGAGGCCAGAGAGAGACCAGAGAGAGACCACAGAGAGACCAGAGAGAGACCAGAGAGAGACCAGAGAGAGAGACCAGAGAGAGACCAGAGAGAGAGACCAGAGAGAGACCAGAGAGAGAGACCAGAGAGAGGCCAGAGAGAGAGATCAGAGAGAGGCCAGAGAGAGAGATCAGAGAGAGGCCAGAGAAAAACCAGAGAGAGACCAGAGAGAAACCAGAGAGAGACCAGAGAGAGACCAGAGAGAAACCAGAGAGAGAGACCAGAGAGAGAAAATGGTGAGTGTGACACAAACAGTTACTGAGCAAGAGGAGTTTGCTTTTCACTGTGAGTCAATAAGAGCCAGAGCACTTCCCTATCGAGCTACACTGAGCTAGCGTGTTAGCATTGGTTAGCATTGATTAGCATTGTCCATCTGTTTACAGTCTGTGGATGAAACGCTTACATCTCCCTGATAAAAACATTGCTTTGCTAACGGCCACATGTCTCGACAAGGAGTATTTTTATCGCTGCTGAATGTTGCCGTGTCATAACAGCGGAGTTTGGACCTTTCTAGAATTACCACAAACATAAGGGGCCTCGAAACGTGATCCGCATCTGAGAGACACATCTGAGCCCAGTTCTGCTACAGCGGCATCTGACCTTTATCTCATTTATAATATTGTTGTTGGGTTTTTTCCCCTTTCCTTATAATTTTTATACACTTTGGAATCATCTTTTTTAATGGTTTTATAGTTATTTAGCTTTTGTTATGATTACGATTATTATTTTAGATTTTCTATAATATTAATCCTACAGAAAATAATACTTTCAATTATTTATTTTTTATTATTCCTTTGTTTTTTCTTGTGTGCTTTCTTCTCTTATGTGCGTACGTATATGTGTATGTGTATGTATATGTATGTGTGTGTATATATGTGTATGTATGTGTATATATCTGTAGGTGTGTGTACGTCTGTGTATGACTGTCTATGTATGTGTATGTATGTGTATATTATGTGTATATACTGTATGTGTGTGTATGTATGTACGTATATGTGTATGCATGTGTATATGTGTGTATATATGTGCATGAATGTGTGTATATGTGTATGTACGTATGTGTACGTCTGCGTATATGTGTGTACGTATATATGTGTATGCATGTGTATATGTGTGTAAATATGTGTATATCTGTGTATGTGTGTGTATGTATATATATGTGTGTGTGTATGTATGTGTTCGTACGCTCAGCCCCTCGGAGCGCGCCCTACAAAATAAAATCGAGGTAATTGTGACACTGTATAAGTATATGTGCGTATGTGTACGTGTATATTTGTGTATGTATGCGTATGTGTATATGTGCGTACGTATATATGTGTATGTATAGGTGTACGTGTATATTTGTGTATGTATATGTGTACGTGTATATTTGTGTATGTATAGGTGTGTATATGATGTAAACATGTAAAAGCCTCTTATGGACCAATGTCACTGCTTTTTATCATCGCATTTGCAGAGTTTGATTTTAAGATTTTTTTGTTGGCAAATCCACAACTTTACACACACACACACATACACACACAGACACAGACACACATAGACACACACGCACACGCACACAGACACAGACACACACGCACACACACACATACACATACACAGACACACACGCACACAGACACAGACACACACACACACACACGCACACACAGACACACACATGCACACAGACACACACGCACACACATACACAGACACACACACACACGCACACGCACACGCACACACATAGACACACACACACACACACACAGACACAGACACACACACACACACACACACACACGCACACACACACACACACACACACACACACACACACACACACACACACACACACACACACACAGACAGACACAGACACAGACACAGACACACACACACACACACACAGACAGACACAGACACAGACACAGACACACACACAGACACACACACAGACACACACACACATCCAGAGCAGAGACCGGGTCCAAGTCTCCAGTTTTGTGGCGTTGATGAATTGAAACTCCACAATCGCGGACGTGAAACAAGGCGAGCATTGAGCCGTGGAGACGCTGCTCAGGACCCAGCACCAAGCACCAGTGGGACCCAGCACCAAGCACCAGTGGGACCCAGCACCAAGCACCAGTGGGACCCAGCACCAAGCACCAGTGGGACCCAGCACCAAGCACCAGTGGGACCCAGCACCAAGCACCAGTGGGACCCAGCACCAAGCACCAGTGGGACCCAGCACCAAGCACCAGTGGGACCCAGCATCAAGCACCAGTGGGACCCAGCACCAAGCACCAGTGGGACCCAGCATCAAGCACCAGTGGGACCCAGCACCAAGCACCAGTGGGACCCAGCATCAAGCACCAGTGGGACCCAGCACCAAGCACCAGTGGGACCCAGCACCAAGCACCAGTGGGACCCAGCACCAAGCACCAGTGGGACCCAGCACCAAGCACCAGTGGGACCCAGCACCAAGCACCAGTGGGACCCAGCATCAAGCACCAGTGGGACCCAGCACCAAGCACCAGTGGGACCCAGCACCAAGCACCAGTGGGACCCAGCATCAAGCACCAGTGGGACCCAGCCACGTCTGACCCGCACTCTTTCACAACACGGGCAAAGCAGAAGTATGTGAGGTATCTGAGGTATTTTAGAGAGAAGTACCACATCAGAATCCAGGTTATCAGTAAGTTAAAATAAATATATCCATCCATCTTCTTCCTCTTAATCCATTTCTGGGTCGGGGGTGGCAGTCAGAGCACCAGCCCCTCACTGATCCTCCTGCAGGTGCTGAGATCTTTCAGCAGGGGCTTCAGGCAAAGTGGGGTTAAGTGTCACAACGACAGCAGACATCAGTGGGAGTTGTAAATTAGGTCTCATGGTGGGCTTGAACTCACAACCTTCAGGCTCAAATGCCAATGCTCTACCAACTGAGCCACTGTCGCCCCAATTTTTTTTCCAATAATAATAATAATAATTGATTCTAACAAGTACGAGTAGAGAAGGGAAGCTCAGTGACTGTCAAAGTAGATCTATTGTCTGTTGTTAAGCAGTGTATTTCAACGGCTTCTATTCAAGTGTGTCCTGTATGTGGACAAGAAACACATACAGCTGCAAGTTCTGTATTTACGGCACAAAACCTACACAGCAAAAAGTGATGAAAAGTAGGTCAAAAATGGAGCAAAATCTGCAAAATGTATCTTAGTCTGAGCACATTCTGACTGGGCCTTAAAACAAGATTTGCCGACGGGACAAAACAAAAGAAGAAGAACTGTCTCCCTTGGAATGAGTTATAAGTAAATAGAACTAAATGGCTTCGTCTCATTGGAGAATATTGTTTTAACACAGTCAGAAAGTGTCAGATTAAGATTAAAAAAACACTATATAAAAAAACCGCATTTAAAACTTCATATTTGATCATTTTTTGCAGTGTACCTCACATTAATGTCATGACTACAATGAAAACAAAACATTTATACTGTGTGTGGACTGTGTTATTTAAGAAACAAAAACGTTGCTCTGCTTCTGTTTGGTCGCTTATTCGACAACTCGTGACTTTACACAATCACCAACAACCATTGTGTTATCATTATTGTGGTGTGGAACAGTGTTTTTCAACCACTGGGCCGTGGTCCATTAGTGTGTCTTGGGGAACATGTCCAAAGTCACATAAAAGGTCAAAATAATGTGAAAAGAAAATGTTGTTTGTTGAAGATCAGAGAGATGTTTTGAGCTTGTTTCATTTTCTAACTATATTTACTCTGATTACAATAAGTAAAATCTGCAAAGTTAGCCACGGTGACAAAAAGGTTGGGAAACACTGGTAAAGAATATGACCAAAACAGTCACATTTGTACCTGTGTGTGTGAAATATACATATTATAGCATCAACAGATTACTTGACAATTATAATAAATAGGTCTTGGATAAAAACTGAAATCGTTCATACAGTTTTAAGGTTGATCAATTCCACATCTCAAAACACCTTTTTAAACTAGCTTATTCTTTGTAATTTTGTAATGTTTTATATTCTGTACTTATAATAATGTGTGTGTTTTTTTGTATATTGTAAGGCGTCCTGGGGTGTCCTGAAAGTGAATTATTATCATTACTAATCATTCATATTTTACCCTTCAGGACCCAGACATAAACAATTATAAGCTAATTTGGCGATGTAGCATATTAGCCTCTTTAGATTGTTAGCTACATACATTAGTTATTGCATTAAACCAAAAAAGTCAGACTTCTACCTTCGAACTCTACGGTGTATATTTGTAACCGAGGGTGTTAGGGGGTTAAAAGGACCCACTGAAGCTGGGAGAAAGTGGTTTGAAGCGGTTTGTCCTGAAACATATTATAGTTTGCTCTTACCTGTGCAGCTTCTTGGGTGGAGGCGGCGGGGGATGGGCCTCCTGGCTGGACTCTCCCACCGCTTGTGCGACCGTGGCTCCCAGAGGGGTCGGCTGCTTGGCTGGCATGCTTCCACTCTGCTCGTCCTGGTCCCGTGCCTCCGTGCCATCCAGCGAACCCTGACAGAGACCATTGTTGAGGCCAATGACGGTCGCAGTGTCTGTCTCGGCGATTGGCGGAGGAGGAGGAGGAGGCGGAGGAGGACTACTTTGGCTCTTCCACATCCTGGCCTCCTTCCAGGTCCCCGCATCGACATTGGACCCTCGACGCAGACTCGGGTGCTTTTTCTCGCCTTCTTTCGCCGGTTTCTCCTCCTCTTCCTCCTCCTCCTCGATGCGACAGTTCCAGCCCGGAGCGGAGTGGAGGGGTTTGAGCCGATCCGTAGCCGCGCTCTGGCTCTGGCTGTTGTTGTGGACCTTAAAGTGGCAGTCTTTGGACGTGACCAGGAAAAGCATTGGGAGTTCTGGGAGCGGCAGAGGGGACGAGACGGATGGGGTGAAAGTAGAGGCACTTAGCTTGGGGAGTTCAGGCAAAGGCACAGGAGACGAAACGGAAGAGCTGAGGCTGGAAGCGCCGAGCTTAGGGGTCCGGTTGGCTCGTTTGGGGGGAATGGGTGGACTTGTCTGAGGCTTGGCAAGAACCGGAGAACAAGCGATGCCGTCTGAGGTCAGAGACGGGGCACTGCGACTCGGACTGGGCCAGAGGAAGGCTGAAGGGCTGGCGTCTTTTCGTGCGGATGGACTAAAGTGACATTGCGTGCTCACCGCTGAATCCGGGCTGCTCAGATAAAACGTTCGGTTGTTTTGCTCGGCGTGTGTAGCCATTACGCTGATGGTAGCTCGCTGCGGACCCTCTGAAGACTGAGACCTCTTCATTTTGCTCGGCGATTTCAAACTCTCTGCTCCCTTCTGCTTTTTCTTAGTGCTTTCCGCGTAGATCGGCTCTTTCTCCGGAGGTCCGGTCGGAGAGTTCGACGCCGATTGGCTACTCCCAGATCTGCTGCTAAACTCGTGCTTGCTTCCGAAGTCTTCCGAAAGAGAACCGGTGCTGCTTTGATAGGAGCAGGACGAGCCGGACGGACTGGAAGGCAACTGCTGCAGAGACATCGGACTGCTACCGTTCGTCTCCACGTTTAAGACCGTGTTGAAGGAAGTGCTGGTGGCCTCAGTGATGACCAGAGACTTGGGTTCGTAACCTCGATGTACTTTGGTTGGACTAGAAACGCCGACATCCACCTCCGGAGAAGCTCGACCCTGCTCCTGGAACTGGGTCTTGACTCCATTACCCACATAAGTGCTCTTGCCGATTCTGGCTTCTGGAGAGTTGATCTGTTTTCTAAAGTTCTGGCAGGTTTTCCCGTCTTCTTGCGTGACAAAAATGTTGCTGATGAGCACAGAATCTTTGGATGTCTTACTCGGAGACAGAGCGCTTAAGGAGAAGCATTTGTTGAGGTCTTTGTTCTCAGGGCTTCGCAGGACGGTGTCTTTCAGCGACTTGTTGCATCCGTTCTTATCGATGTAGAGAGAGGACAGGCCGAGGAGCTTCTTGAGTCCAGAGCGGTCGACTGGATTCTTGGGACTTTCCTACAATAAACACATAAACAATATTAAACCCAAATTTTACAGATTCATATCATTTGCAGTAAAACCCCATTGGAATACATGGTTTTAAAATGAAGTCTAAAAACATTCTTATATCTTAGTTTTTAACACCAACTCAGTTTTTGTGTGTATTTATGCTGTTTTTGTTTTTATTTTGTGTCTGTGGAGCACTTTGAGCACCTGGTATTAAAGCTGACATTGACAAAAATAAACAAGCTAAAAAGCATAGCATATCCAGATGTCCTGCATCTCAGAGAACGAGAGGGAAGAAGCTGGAACAATGTATTACGGCATGAAAAAGATTGGCTCATATTCAAGTGTGTCCTCTATGATGACAAAAATAGGTCGAAAACTGCTAAAAATTTGTCAAATGTATCTTGATTTTAGCACATTCTGACTGAGCATTAAAACATTTTTTACCAAAGGGAAAAAGCAAAATTATCTAGTTTTAAAAGATACAGAAATGTCTCCTTTGGAATAAGAAAATAAAGTAACAGTTTTTGAAAAAAAACTAAATAGTTTTGTCCCATTGAAGAATCTGGTTTTAACACTGTCAGAATGTGTCAGATAACTGCTGATGTCCACTGGAGGCGTTACAGGACAAACACGTTATACTCTCAGCAGACGCGCAGAACATTATTCCATGTTAACCAATGGTTATATTTACACTAGTGTTATACGCACGTATGACAGCAACGCAGTCTCCATCAAAACACATGGAAACATGATTTTTATAGCGGCCCTTGGCTCTAGATCACACACACACACACACACACACCCACACACCATACACACAAACACACACACACAAACACACACACACACACACACACCATACACACACACACACACACACACACACCATACACACACACACACACACACACACAAACACACACACACACACACACACACACACACACACACACACACACACACACACACACACACACACACACACACACACACACACACACACACAGCACTTGTATCTAAACATCAGCAGGAGGAGCAGCAGGTTTTACAGTGATTCTGAAAATCGTTTTTTTTTCTTTCATAAATTATGGCGTCTGGCCAAACCAGCACAGAGACCATGAAGACAAACACATGTGGTTTGTGTTGCTCTGCATCAGTCTGTACTGTCCTCTACACTGCTCCATAGACTACACAGGGACAGCCTCAGAAGGACCTGCACACGGCCTGTGTAGATACTCCCAAATAATGTTACGCTCACATGCGCACGGTCAACGCGTACTCGCTGTTAACGCCTACTGTGGAAATTCCCTGTAAAGATAAAAACCACTCGATTCTTACCTCATAATTTATCATTTTTTGCAGTGTAACTCACATAAATCTCATGACTAAAACAACAACCACAAGAGCGAGAGGGAAGAAGCTGGAACATGGCTTTTTCCCAGAGGCCATTGATTATTCTAGAAGCTCGGTTTAAGAGTCTGGATTCATAATAAATAAATAAATATACATTTCATAGTTTTCCCAGAGTCCCTCACCTGCTCCATGTTCATGTTGATATCTGCCACGGTCTCGTTGGTGTCCAGACTCATCATGGTGGGTTTGACAGCGATGGTGGGTTTACTGTAGGGGGAGGGAGCAGGCAGGGCCCCCTCCTCATCACCTCTGGGGCTGGGTCTCCTCAGGGCGGGTCCAGCTCCGGGCCGGTGGGCGCTGAGGGGGTGGAAGCAGTTCTTGCAGGAGCCGGGTTTCCACACGTGTTCCGCAAAGTCGCTGCAGGCAGACATCTTTGACGTCTCGCTGAGGTTTGGTCAGAAGAGGCGCTGGACGGACAGTGAAGGGACGAGAGGAAGACCTGTCATGGCTGGAAAAGAGAAGAGAAAACTAAATATAGCTCAGTTTTTCCATTCAAGTCATGTTTGTGGAGCCCTAAATCACAACAGTAGTCAGTAAGTGATATTGTGCATGTTTTTAGTGGTAGGGGAAACCGTAGCACCTGGAGGAAACCTACAGACACGGGGAGTACTTGCGAACTTCCTCACAGAAACAAAAGAGGTGAGTAATTCCTGTACGAACGAGAAAGGTTCTGGAGGTGGAGTCGAACCCAGGACCTTCTCGCTGTGAGGTGCCATAGCTAACCACCGTGCCGCTAAGTTATCCTCGTTACCTCAGAGGCGATACAAAGTTGTCGATTCGCAAACACAGGAAATGCAATGATCAAAAACTAAACCAAAAAGAAGGTAAAAAAGAAAATATTGCGATACTTTGCTCTATTGTATCGTTTTAACTGCGTTTGCAAAATATCGTGATTTTTTTCTCCCCATAACTAATACCAACACTGACTCCACTTCCTGAGAGCTCCCCCAACTGGAGATTTAAGGCAGTGCACCTAAACCGACACCTCCCAAACCAGAACATAGATTAAGCTTCAAATTCACTGATAAATAAAATAATATAATAATAATGTATATAATTAGACCCAATTATTAGACAACGTTAAACAACTACACTGCAAAAAGTGATACAAAATAAGTCAAAAATTGCACATTCTGACTGAGCCTTAAAACAAGATTTGCCATTGAGACAAAAATAAATGATCTTGTTTTAAAAATATCCAGAAATGTCTCTCTTGGAATGAGAAAAGAAATCCACAGTTCTTGAAATAAAACTAAATGGTTTCGTCCGAGTGGAGAATTTAGTTTTAACACAATCAGAATGCAGTCAAATTAAGTTATTATTACCTATATTTGATCATTTTTTGCAGTGTAACTCACATTAATCTCATGACTACAATGACAACGAGAGGGAAGAAGCTGGAACACGGCAAAATGTATCTTGATTAAACGACATTCTGACAGAGCCGTAAAACCAGATTTTCCAACGGGACAAAGCAAAATGATGTTGTTTTTAAAAGATACAGAAATGTCTCCTTTGGAATCAGGAAATAAACACCTTTTGGATTATTTTGACCTGATTTTATTTTATTTTTCTTTCATTTTCCGACGTGTCACTAAATGTCTGACTTGTTTTAACACAGTCAGAATGTAGTCAGATTAAGATAAAACCAACTCAGTTCAAGCTTTTTTTATATGATAGCAGCTTGTGGAAAGTAGCTGTTAGCATGTTAGCATATCCAGATGTCCTGCGTCTCAGACAACAATATCTTCTTTCAGAGGGAAGAAGCTGGAACATGTTTTTTCCAGGAACCAGAGGAGTCATTGATTATTCTAAGAGCCGGATTTAAAGAGTCTGGATTCATAAAGAACCTCCAGAACAGTCTCTGCTCTCCCTGGTCTCTCTCTGGTCTCTCCCTGGTCTCTCTCTGGTCTCTCTCTGGTCTCTCTCTAGTCTCTCTCTGTTTTCTCTCTCCCTGGTCCCTCCCTGGTCTCTCTCTGGTCTCTCTCTAGTCTCTCTCTGGTCTCTCCCTGGTCTCTCTCTGGTCTCTCCCGGGTCTCTCTCTGGTCTCTCCCGGGTCTCTCTCTGGTCTCTCTCTAGTCTCTCCCTGGTCTCTCTCTGGTCTCTCTCTGGTCTCTCTCTGGTCTCTCTCTAGTCTCTCTCTCTCTCTCTGGTCTTTCTCTCTTGTCTCTCTCTCTGGTCTCTCCCTGGTGTCTCCCTCATATTTTGATCATTTTTTTTGCAGTGTAAAATCACCCACAACAAGAATCAACTCGCAGACTTCAAAATGACAACTCCAGAAGCAGCCGGATCCCCCTCTTTGGCCTGACACATGTGAACGTCGGCGGAGGAGCTGCCCCGGGGCTTCTGTCCACACTGTAACCCGAGGGGCCGCCGCTCTCATTCCCAGGGTCTCCTAAATTAGAGGGTGTGTAGTTTCTGCTCAGCCAAACAACCTGCCAAGAGTCCTCCACTGCCCCCACAGAAGAAGAAGAAGGTTCAAGCATCCTAGAGGTCGGAATGTCGGGAATGTCTAAAGCCGCAGGTCTCACCAGGGTGAATTTCACACCCACAACAACCCCCAGCCCCCTCCCCCTCCTCCCCCTCCTCCTCCTCCTCGCTCTGCAAACAACCCCAGATTCTTCTTCTTCTTCTTCTCCCTGTGTGTCTTTGCGGTTTCGCTTGTTTTTCTCCCGCGGCCGGTGTCTTGTTTTATGTTGTGTGAGTTTTAATGGCTTCTCAACAAGGTGCTGCAATGGGGTCCCAAGAGGAGAGACCACCTCCTGAACACAACAAGGGAAAGGTCCGGAGACAAATGGGGGGAAAGGTGTTGGAAAGAGCGGACGCACAACTGTTAGGGCTGAGCATACACTGCAAAAAGTGATACAAAGTGAGGTAATAATGGTTTGAATCAAGAAGTTTTCATCTTAATTTGAGTTAATTCTGAGAAAGACTGAGAGAGCGACTAGAGAGAGACCAGAGAGAGAGACCAGAGAGAGACCAGAGAAAGACTAGAGAGACCAGAGAGAGACCAGAGAGACCAGAAAAAGACTAGAGAGACTAGAGAGAGACCAGAGAGAGAACAGAAAAAGACTGAAGAGAGACCAGAGAGAGACTAGAGAGAGACTAGAGAGAGACCAGAGAGAGACCAGAAAGAGAGACCAGAGAGAGACCAGAGAGAGAGACCAGAGAGAGGCCAGATAGAGGCCGGAGAGAGACCCGAGAGAGACCAGAGAGAGAGACCAGAGAGAGGCCAGAGAGAGACTAGAGAGAGACCAGAGAGAGACTAGAGAGAGACCAGAGAGAGACTAGAGAGAGACCAGAGAGAGACCAGAGAGAGAGACTAGAGAAAGACCAGAGAGAGACTATAGAGAGACCAGAGAGAGACCAGAGAGAGGCCAGAGAGAGAGACCAGAGAGAGACTAGAGAGAGACTAGAGAGAGACCAGAGAGAGACCAAAGAGAGAGACCAGAGAGAGACCAGAGAGAGACCAGAGAGAGACCAGAGAGAGACCAGAGAGAGAGACCAGAGAGAGACCAGAGAGAGAGACCAGAGAGAGACCAGAAAGACCAAAGAGAGAGACCAGAAAGAGACCAGAGAGAGACTAGAGAGAGACCAGAGAGAGAGACCAGAGAAAGACCAAAGAGAGAGACCAGAGAGAGACCAGAGAGAGAGACCAGAGAGAGACCAGAGAGAGACTAGAGAGAGACCAGAGAGAGAGACCAGAGAGAGACCAAAGAGAGAGACCAGAGAGAGATACCAGAGAGAAATGAGAGAAAAAGGGAAAAACTTTATTTGTATGACTCTAAAATATGGCTAAAAACGACTTTGGTAAAGACCTTTGGATATTTCATGACACTTTTTGGTTAAATCTGAGTTTGTGATTCTAACAAGGCACTGATTTTCTTCTTGAATGTTTTGCTGATCTGAAGGCTGAAGCTGCTCGTCCCGTGGCAGCTGCTGATTGGACGGTCTACGCTGTGATGTCATTCTGTGAAACCATTGCCACGACCCAAGACCCCAGTGGTGTTTTGTTCAGAGCAAATGGTAAACGTTTCAAATACTTTTATGACGGCACTTATCTGTTTTTTTAAATGATCTCTTCATATTTTTATTATTAATTAGTAATCAATAAAAATATTTCATTCCTTGAGCTTTCATTTTTACTACAACCTTACTACTTTATGCCTTTTAATGCATATTCAACAGGAAGATATTTCAGTGAGAAACTTAAGAGTCAAAGTTAAAACAAATTTGAAGTTTTTCTATAAAATAAAGTGTCTTAGTCCATTCATTTCTCTTTGATCCGTTGCTCAGATTTCTCTCTCCAAACACACTTCGTCCAGCTCATCTGGGGGAATCCCGAGACACTCTGTGTCCTGGGTCTTCCCCTGGTCTCTTTTATCTGCACCTGTGAACTGGTTGACCCCAAAGATTCTTCAGTCCTGGATCTACAGCCTCAGTCCTGGGTCTACAGCCTCAGTCCTGCGTCTACAGCCTCAGTCCTGGATCTACAGCCTCAGTCCTGGATCTACAGCCTCAGTCCTGGGTCTACAGCCTCAGTCCTGGGTCTACAGCCTCAGTCCTGGGTCTACAGCCTCAGTCCTGGGTCTACAGCCTCAGTCCTGGGTCTATAGCCTCAGTCCTGGATCTACAGCCTCAGTCCTGGATCTACAGCCTCAGTCCTGGATCTACAGCCTCAGTCCTGGGTCTATAGCCTCAGTCCTGGATCTACAGTCTCAGTCCTGGGTCTACAGCCTCAGTCCTGGGTCTACAGCCTCAGTCCTGCGTCTACAGCCTCAGTCCTGGATCTACAGCCTCAGTCCTGGGCCTACAGCCTCAGTCCTGGGTCTACAGCCTCAGTCCTGGATCTACAGCCTCAGTCCTGGATCTACAGCCTCAGTCCTGGATCTACAGCCTCAGTTCTGGGTCTATAGCCTCAGTCCTGGATCTACAGTCTCAGTCCTGGGTCTACAGCCTCAGTCCTGGGGCTACAGCCTCAGTCCTGGGTCTACAGCCTCAGTCCTGGACCTACAGCCTCAGTTCTGGACCTACAGCCTCAGTTCTGGATCTACAGCCTCAGTCCTGGACCTACAGCCTCAGTCCGGGACCTACAGCCTCAGTCCTGGGTCTACAGCCTCAACCCTGGGTCTACAGCCTCAGTCCTGGGTCTACAGCCTCAGTCTTGGACCTACAGCCTCAGTCCTGGGTCTACAGCCTCAGTCCTGGGTCTACAGCCTCAGTCCTGGGTCTACAGCCTCAGTCCTGGGTCTACAGCCTCAGTCCTGGGGCTACAGCATCAGTCCTGGATCTACAGCCTCAGTCCTGGATCTACAGCCTCAGTCCTGGGTCTACAGCCTCAGTCCTGGGTCTACAGCCTCAGTCCTGGGTCTACAGCCTCAGTCCTGGGTCTACAGCCTCAGTCCTGGATCTACAGCCTCAGTCCTGGACCTACAGCCTCAGTCCTGGACCTACAGCCTCAGTCCTGGACCTACAGCCTCAGTCCTGGACCTACAGCCTCAGTCCTGGACCTACAGCCTCAGTCCTGGATCTACAGCCTCAGTCCTGGACCTACAGCCTCAGTCCTGGACCTACAGCCTCAGTCCTGGGTCTACAGCCTCAGTCCAGTATTGCTCATCTCCCTGTGTATTTGTTATTATCACAAATGTGTTCAAACTGATTCTCTGATTGGTTTTTGCAAATCGACAACTTCTCCGCGTCCTCCGAGACACAAAAACAGAGTCATGGAGGTGGATCAGATGAAGCAGGAAAGCCTCTGACCACTGTTTGTTTAGTGCGTGTTCGGGAACTTGCTCAACAACGTCTAACTCTTGAGTCATGACCAGAACTGGAACCTCAGAGTCAGAGACCATAAAGAGACAGTCAGGACTATAAAGGCACGTGTTCATGGTCCTGATTGTCTGAGAGACTAGTTGTCTTGTAAATGACTGATGATGATGTTTCCACCAGGAACAAGACAACAACAGCTACACACAGGTACCTTCTGTCCATTCTTTTTCACAGAATCAGAATTTAGGCGCACGCTTATTATATCGACAGTCTTACCAAACCATTGTACTCATTTCATTTTGTACTAAGGTCTGGATTTGCTCCATTGACATTTACAGGTGGGAGGGGCTAACTCTGAGTTTACCAAGACGTATGTAGTGAGCCCGAGTTACTCACCAGCTTTTAGCAACTAGCCTAGCTTTAGCATGTAGCCTAGCTTTAGCATTTAGCCTAGCTTTAGCCATCTCCTTTGCCTTTAACGGAGCCCGTGGGGAGTAGAGCCACAACATCTTCACCTCAGTGACATTTACTAAACATTCCTCTTGCTCCAGCTTCAGTTTCTTGATATTTGGATTGAACCAGAACAGATTATTTCACTGAACTGAAGTCAAAATAAAACCAAGTACAAAAATAAAATTGAAATGTGGCCCAAATATCACAAAACCATCGGATCGTCACATTTTTGACTTTTCTCAGCCCTATTTCTTACAGACATTGCTCCCACAGGTTTACTGTTCTGCACCACAACAGTATAGTATAAGTATTAGTAAAGTATGGTGTAGTATGGTATAGTATATGTAGGGGGCAGTGGGACTTGTTTGGCCACAGACAGAGTCCTACATTCCACACTCCGCCTCAAGCTCAAGGTTCGATATTTCTCACTTCCGTTCGTTTGATGTTTTACTTTGATCTGGGTTCAAACTCCAGCCTCAGCCGAGATAACACAACCTCTGTACGTCCCACTGCGGGGAAATGTCAGTGTTGCAGCGCACAGGACGGTAGTAAGACACACAGGGAGAGATGAAAACAAGTACACTGCAAAAAAAGTAATAAAAAAATAAGTCAAAATCTGCTCAAATTTGGCAAAATGTTCATTCAAACTGCCTGTTGAAATGTCTCACTTGGAATGAGAAAATAAAGCAACAGTTATTTATAAAACAATCTAATTTTATTATCACTTCATATTTGATCATTTTTTGCAGTGTAGCTGTGAAAGTTTATAATTAAGAGCAAGAAGAATAGATGAATACATATAAATAAATACCTGTAAATCTGTATCTATGTCGTAGCGATCTAATGACATGTTACGTAGATGTTTTATTTTATGATCCACATGGTCCGAACCAAGTGGATCTGATCCACATGGTCCGAACCAAGTGGATCTGATCCACATGGTCCGAACCAAGTGGATCTGGTGAAAATCCACTGGAGGAATGCTAACTTATTGAAAAATGCTAATGAAGCATTTAGCATTTCACTTTGGACTGGAACAGAGAAAATGGTCTGAACCCAGAGGCTACTCCACCTCTGCTGCTGTGACCCGTCCTGCTCCACCCAGAGGCTACTCCACCTCTGCTGCTGTGAGCCGTCCTGCTCCACCCAGAGGCTACTCCACCTCTGCTGCTGTGACCCGTCCTGCTCCACCCAGAGGCTACTCCACCTCTGCTGCTGTGACCCGTCCTGCTCCACCCAGAGGCTACTCCACCTCTGCTGCTGTGACCCGTCCTGCTCCACCCAGAGGCTACTCCACCTCTGCTGCTGTGACCCGTCCTGCTCCACCCAGAGGCTACTCCACCTCTGCTGCTGTGACCCGTCCTGCTCCACCCAGAGGCTACTCCACCTCTGCTGCTGTGACCCGTCCTGCTCCACCCAGAGGCTACTCCACCTCTGCTGCTGTGACCCGTCCTGCTCCACCCAGAGGCTACTCCACCTCTGCTGCTGTGACCCGTCCTGCTCCACCCAGAGGCTACTCCACCTCTGCTGCTGTGACCCGTCCTGCTCCACCCAGAGGCTACTCCACCTCTGCTGCTGTGACCTGTCCTGCTCCACCCAGAGGCTACTCCACCTCTGCTGCTGTGACCTGTCCTGCTCCACCCAGAGGCTACTCCACCTCTGCTGCTGTGACCTGTCCTTCTCCACCCAGAGGCTACTCCACCTCTGCTGCTGTGAGCCGTCCTGCTCCACCCAGAGGCTACTCCACCTCTGCTTCTGTGACCCATCCTGCTCCACCCAGAGGCTACTCCACCTCTGCTTCTGTGACCCATCCTGCTCCACCCAGAGGCTACTCCACCTCTGCTGCTGTGACCTGTCCTTCTCCACCCAGAGGCTACTCCACCTCTGCTGCTGTGAGCCGTCCTGCTCCACCCAGAGGCTACTCCACCTCTGCTTCTGTGACCCATCCTGCTCCACCCAGAGGCTACTCCACCTCTGCTGCTGTGACCTGTCCTTCTCCACCCAGAGGCTACTCCACCTCTGCTGCTGTGAGCCGTCCTGCTCCACCCAGAGGCTACTCCACCTCTGCTTCTGTGACCCATCCTGCTCCACCCAGAGGCTACTCCACCTCTGCTTCTGTGACCCGTCCTGCTCCACCCAGAGGCTACTCCACCTCTGCTGCTGTGACCTGTCCTTCTCCACCCAGAGGCTACTCCACCTCTGCTGCTGTGAGCCGTCCTGCTCCACCCAGAGGCTACTCCACCTCTGCTGCTGTGACCCGTCCTGCTCCACCCAGAGGCTACTCCACCTCTGCTGCTGTGACCCGTCCTGCTCCACCCAGAGGCTACTCCACCTCTGCTGCTGTGACCCGTCCTGCTCCACCCAGAGGCTACTCCACCTCTGCTGCTGTGACCCGTCCTGCTCCACCCAGAGGCTACTCCACCTCTGCTGCTGTGACCTGTCCTGCTCCACCCAGAGGCTACTCCACCTCTGCTGCTGTGACCTGTCCTGCTCCACCCAGAGGCTACTCCACCTCTGCTGCTGTGACCTGTCCTTCTCCACCCAGAGGCTACTCCACCTCTGCTGCTGTGACCCGTCCTGCTCCACCCAGAGGCTACTCCACCTCTGCTGCTGTGACCCGTCCTGCTCCACCCAGAGGCTACTCCACCTCTGCTGCTGTGACCCGTCCTGCTCCACCCAGAGGCTACTCCACCTCTGCTGCTGTGACCCGTCCTGCTCCACCCAGAGGCTACTCCACCTCTGCTGCTGTGACCCGTCCTGCTCCACCCAGAGGCTACTCCACCTCTGCTGCTGTGACCCGTCCTGCTCCACCCAGAGGCTACTCCACCTCTGCTGCTGTGACCTGTCCTGCTCCACCCAGAGGCTACTCCACCTCTGCTGCTGTGACCTGTCCTGCTCCACCCAGAGGCTACTCCACCTCTGCTGCTGTGACCTGTCCTTCTCCACCCAGAGGCTACTCCACCTCTGCTGCTGTGAGCCGTCCTGCTCCACCCAGAGGCTACTCCACCTCTGCTTCTGTGACCCATCCTGCTCCACCCAGAGGCTACTCCACCTCTGCTTCTGTGACCCATCCTGCTCCACCCAGAGGCTACTCCACCTCTGCTGCTGTGACCTGTCCTTCTCCACCCAGAGGCTACTCCACCTCTGCTGCTGTGAGCCGTCCTGCTCCACCCAGAGGCTACTCCACCTCTGCTTCTGTGACCCATCCTGCTCCACCCAGAGGCTACTCCACCTCTGCTGCTGTGACCTGTCCTTCTCCACCCAGAGGCTACTCCACCTCTGCTGCTGTGAGCCGTCCTGCTCCACCCAGAGGCTACTCCACCTCTGCTTCTGTGACCCATCCTGCTCCACCCAGAGGCTACTCCACCTCTGCTTCTGTGACCCGTCCTGCTCCACCCAGAGGCTACTCCACCTCTGCTGCTGTGACCTGTCCTTCTCCACCCAGAGGCTACTCCACCTCTGCTGCTGTGAGCCGTCCTGCTCCACCCAGAGGCTACTCCACCTCTGCTTCTGTGACCCATCCTGCTCCACCCAGAGGCAACTCCACCTCTGCTGCTGTGAGCCGTCCTGCTCCACCCAGAGGCTACTCCACCTCTGCTGCTGTGACCCGTCCTGCTCCACCCAGAGGCTACTCCACCTCTGCTGCTGTGACCCGTCCTGCTCCACCCAGAGGCTACTCCACCTCTGCTGCTGTGACCCGTCCTGCTCCACCCAGAAGCTACTCCACCTCTGCTGCTGTGACCCGTCCTGCTCCACCCAGAAGCTACTCCACCTCTGCTGCTGTGACCTGAAGGGCTGTTGCTGATTATTACTACTGTAAATTTTTTAGAATAATCAATTTCATTTTTGCTGCTACTCGACACCTGAATTTCTCTGATGGGGATCAATAAAGTATCTATCTAAAAGTATGACGTCATGTATTACGTGTTTGAAGTAACTTTCCCAGCACTGGTTACAGAGGAGATGACTCAGAAGTTCTCATTGTACAGTCTGACAGTCTGAAGCCGATATCATCCTTTTACTTCATCATTAACAGATCAGCATTTTATTATTATTCTAGTCTTTTGTATGTGTTTTTACAGTGTGTTTGTTGGTTTTAAATGCTGTCGATGTGAAGCACTTTAGTTTGCTTTCTGTATGAACTGTGCTATAAATAAGTTGATTGACTGATATTGTGGTAAATAGATTTTGAGCCGACCTTTATCATCGCACACATAAAAAAAACTAAAACTACATCTACACTGCACAAAATAAAACACTGCACATTCTGACTGTGTTTAAACAAGATTGGGACAAAACCATTTAGTCTTTTTTCAAGATCTGTTGCTTTTTGGAAGATGCATTTTGACGAATTTAAGCAATTTTATACTTATATTTTCATATTTCATTATAATATTAATTGTATATGTAAGGGAGTGACCACTAGATGGGGCACTCGGACTGGTTCTCTTTCGGGTGACGGCCTTATTTTTATTATGGTCCTTATGTTCTGGGCTGGCCACCGTAGCGCCAGCGTCAATTGGCTGCGTAACGCGTCATCCGCCCTCTTTTCTTTTTGCCTTTACGTTGTAAGGTCCCATGAGCCAAGCAACTTCTTTCAAGAACCTCAAAGTAAAACTGCACTTCCACAATCAAAATCGAACTGCTGTGTCTGCTGTGGTCCTTCTCTCACCACCACACCTATCACTCATAAACAACACAACGCAGAGTCCAGAAGCTGGGTGTGTTGGGACCACTCACATAAAACACAGTGAATGAGGGTTACATCTTTTTGGTGCCGTGACCCGGATTGTGGTACTTCTAAAAGTGCATAGAGGTGTTGTTGCTTGGCTCGCCCTGGATGGTGTCCTGCCCGTGGTGAATGCTGTCGAGGTGGTGGACTGCGTGCCTGATCTTGGACCAGCTGGACCTGCCGTACCTGCGTGCCGTTCTGCATCGGATCCATTGGCCCCCTTCATCCGCGCACCAAGCTTGGTTAGATGCCACCCGCTGACCAGTCATCCTAAAGCTGAGCTGGGTTATAAAATCAACTCAGCCGCCGAACGGTGGAAAAGCTCAGTACGGAGTCGGTTGTACTGTATCTCATGGCTACCCATTGTGAAATTGTTTGGTATTTTATTTTGAAGATTTGACTTGCTTTTTGTTTTTTCGTTTTATTTTGGGCTATACAATTTTGGGCTGTTTAATTGTATATTAAAACACAAATTATTCACATTGTAATAGACCAACCATGCTGCACCAGATAACTATTGATATGCCTGAAGAAGAGCAAGGACGCCAAGTTAGTCCTTCCACCCTCCAGACACAGACTGGTTTCCGTGATCCCACCCAGGCCCCTCCCACTCACCCTTACCCAACTCCAGCTCACTCGACGGGTCTGCCCTTTTTCGATTATCGCCATCTGCTTCCCTCACCTGCCTTTAACCACAACTCTGCCGTCAGACCCCATTCATCAACCATGGTGGGTCAAAGGCAGCTTGTGGTGCCTGGCTCAGTCCCCCTTCCTCAACCATACCTCTGGGGCCCAGCAGGTGTGTCACCCTTCACCTCGTGCCCCCCTGCTTCTCCGTTGAACTTAGAAACAAATGCGCCATTGTACCATGCCCCACCAGTGCCCCCTGGGGTCATGTCTGCCAGCGCTGCTACCCGCAGAAGCTCTCCTGCCCCGGCTAATGGAGGCTTCATTCAGACACACCAGGTAAAAAATGTACAGATTTTCACTGGTAACATGGACAGTAAAATACTGGTGGAGGATTGGATAAGGGACATGCAGTACCTCCTCGATGCTGTTGAGTTACCCATGCACCTCCGATTTTCTACAGTGGTGAGACACCTCAGTGGTGAGGCTAGAAAGCTTGTGTTAAACTTGCCCTATCATGAACAAACCCCTGAAAGAGCATTTGATGAACTAAAAGCAGAATACAGTGAGGCTCACTCCTCCCTCGATCCACTCGCAGACTTCTATGAGCGCAGTCAGAAACCTGGTGAATCTGCATGCTCTTTTGCTATAGCGTTAGAGTCTATACTGCGCACTGTAGAAGAGAGTCAACGGGGTGGGCGTTCATTTCCAGACAGGGATAGCAAGCTCACTCGTCAGTTTTTGAGGGGACTTATTGATGAGGGTGTATACACTAGGATTGCCCCTCTTAAGCCTAGGTTGCTTAGTTTCAGGGAGCTGCAAGCTGAGCTCCGTGACCTAGCCCGAGAGAGTAATAGGTTCCTAACTCCACATAAACAGAGAAAGTTGTATAGTCAGGTCCACACAGCAGAAGAGCCTAACAGTGACACGAAAAGGGGTAAAAGCAAAGCCACTTCAGAGTTATCTGAGTTAACAGAGATAGTTAAAAAGCTTTCCCTGAACCAAGAAGAGCAGATGACTAAACTTGCTGACCTTGAATTAAAAATAGCTAACTCTACACCTACTGTTAGACCTGCGCTGAGAAGTAGGCCCCAAAGTGCAAGTATCACATGTCACAGGTGTGGTAAGCAGGGACACATAGCTCGTGTCTGCAGAAGTGTCCTCACAGATAGCGGCCCTGGACTGTCTAGGCAGTCCCAGTCTGCGGATGTCACTGAGAGCCCCCCTCCATCAGTGCTGACTTTAAACTTGTGAAGCCCGTGGTAGAAGGGGCCACCATGGGCACCTCCAGATGTCCCCCCCCAAAAACGTCCCTCAAGAATGGGGAGCAGATGCTATTAGTGGGGCCAAGAAATGAAGGAGGGGTGGTGATTAATGGGTTAGAATGCACTGCTCTTATTGATTCAGGCTCACAGGTTACTACAATCACGGACAGCTTCTACAGTAGACATCCTGTGCTGAGAAAGCAGAAACTACAGCCTTCCACAGTACCTATAGAAGGGGCAGCGGGCCAGGCCGTGCCTTACAGGGGTTTCATTAACATAGAGTTGAAGGTGTTGGGCAAAGTGTTTAATTCAGTCCCTACATTTGTCGTTCCTGACTCTGATTATCGCTCCTCTGTCCCTCTCTTAGTGGGTACCAATGTGCTCAGGGCCTCCCGTAGTTATCTTAAGGAAACCTATGGGCAGGATTTCATGCACCAACTCAAGGAAGAACATCCTGAGTGGTACACAGCATTACTGGAAGTTGAACAATGTGAGACAAAACAGACAAGTGACCTGGTGGGCCCCGCTGTATTTGCTGGTCGCAAAGTGAGAATTCCTGCTGGGAAAGAAATGGACTTGAAGTGCAAAATAAAAGCTGGCCCCCAAAAGCAGACATACACTGCCCTTCTCGAGAGCCACGCCTCTTTAGGCCTTCCCCTGGACCTTCTCATTGCTAAAGTGCTGGCTAATGTAGACAAAGGCTATGTCCCAATCAGAGTTATGAACCTGTCCCAATGTAGTATCACTATAAGACCCCAGACTCCTCTAGCTAATGCCTTTCTTGTTGATAGTGTGCTTGAGTTCCCAGGCCATGTGTGTCCCTCGGATACAACACAACCCAGTGTGAGTCTAAACCATGTTGTTACTGAGAGTATAGTGGATTTAAGTGAGGCTGCAATAGAGAATGAACAACAGCGCACTCTCCTTAAACAACTCATAGACAAAAACAGGGATGTTTTCTCACAGCATCCAACGGACTATGGTCATACTACGACTGTGCAACATGACATACCACTCATTGACTCCAAACCTTTTCGGTTGCCCTACCGCAAGATTCCCCCCTCACAATGGCAGGACGTTAGGAAGATGCTCACTGACATGGAGGCTGCAGGAATCATTCGGCCCAGTAAGAGCCCCTACGCTTCTCCTGTGGTGATAGTGACCAAAAAAGATGGATCGCTTAGGCTTTGTATTGATTACAGAAAGCTAAACTCGTGCAGCACAAGGGATGCTTTTCCCCTTCCGAGAATAGAGGAGGCTTTGGAGGCATTGGGACAGGCAAAGTACTTCTCCACACTTGACCTCACATCAGGCTACTGGCAGGTGGAAGTAGCAGAGCGGGACAAACACAAAACCGCATTCAGTACACCCATGGGCCTGTTTGAGGCCAACCGAATGCCCTTTGGCCTTCAAAACGCCCCCTCCACCTTTCAGAGACTCATGACATGCTGTTTCGGGGATCTCAACTTTACTCACCTTCTGATCTATTTGGATGATTTGATCATATTTGCAAAGACTTTTGATGAACATTTAGAGAGACTGCAGCAGGTGTTCGACCGCCTCCGACAGCATGGTTTGAAGCTCAAGCCCTCCAAGTGTCAGTTAGTGAGAGAAGAGGTGCAATATCTGGGTCACATAGTGTCAGCTGAAGGGGTTAAAACGGAGCCAGAGAAGATAAGCAAGGTTAAAGAGTGGCCGAGACCAACAAACAGGAAGGAGGTGCTCCAGTTTCTTGGGTTTGTGGGATATTATAGGAGGTATGTCCCAAACTTCTCCTCCATAGCTGCCCCTTTGTACTGCCTCACATCAGGTGACCCTAGAAAAAAGAAAAGGGGTTTGCGCAAACATGCTGATCCTGCTCGCCCTTTTGCATGGACTGAAATGTGCGAGATTGCCTTCTCACTGCTAAAAGAAAAACTTGTTACTGCACCAATACTTGGTTACCCAGATTACAGTCAACCATTTGTACTCCAAACCGATGCATCTGGTGGCGGTTTGGGGGCAGTGTTGGCACAGATCCAGGGAGGGCAAGAGAGAGTGATAGCCTATGCTAGCAGGGGCCTTACACCACCTGAGACCCGGTACCCTGCGCATAAACTCGAATTTCTTGCCCTTAAATGGGCAGTAACGGATAAGTTCTACGATCATTTGTATGGCCGCAATTTTTCAGTTCTGACAGACAATAACCCCCTTAAGTATGTGATGTCCTCAGCTAGACTCGATGCAACAGGCCAGCGTTGGGTCTCACAACTATCCATTTTCAACTTCGACATACAGTATCGGAGTGGCAGAAACAATGCAAATGCTGATGCACTCTCGCGGATGTCCGATCAAGATGTCGCCAAAGCCCTGCTTTCTTGCCCTCAGGTTACATGTCACAGTGGTTTTCCTGTACCTGTAAACTCCCCCACTACAAGTGATGCGCACCGGAGTGATAGCAACACTAATGAGCCCTACACTGATGTGGGAACAGAATCGCTCCCGGCATTGACCACAAATGAGATACGTTTGGCCCAAAGAGAGGACTCTATCATTGGCCCTGTCCTGTTCTCAAGGACCCGCAATCAAAAACCAAGCCGCTGTGAGAGGGCCGAGATGAGTGTGCAGGGGCGCCTTCTCTTAAAGGAGTGGAGGAGGTTGGTGGTGACAAACGGAATCTTGTTCAGAAAAGTCAAAGACCAACAAAGGGGTATAGTGGAGCAGCTTCTACTACCTGAGATATTACGCAAAAAAGTCAAAATCACCCTCCATGATGACTCAGGGCACTTGGGCTTTGAGAGGACTTTGCAAATGATAAGAGAGCGGTTTTTACTGGCCCAAAATGTTTCATGAGATCAAGACATGGTGCGAGCAATGTGAAAGGTGTTGCCTGAGGAAAACTCCTACAGCAGGACTTAGAGCCCCTCTGGTCAGTATCCACACTAGTGCCCCAATGGAACTGGTTTGTGTTGACTTTTTAACATTAGAAAGATCTAGAGGGGGCATTGAACACGTCCTCCGTTGTTACAGACCACTTCTCTCGCTACGCTCAAGCGTACCCCACCAGAGATCAGAAGGCTAGCACAGTGGCTAGAACATTGTGGAAAAACTACTTCTGTCGCTTCGGATTCCCTGCCAAGCTCCATGCAGACCAGGGCAGAAATTTTGAAAGCGCCATTGTTAAAGAGCTGTGCAAATGTGTAGGCATCACTAAAACTCACACAACGCCATATCACCCACAGGGCAATGGCACCACAGAACGTTTTAATCGCACATTAATGAATATGCTCGGCACTCTTGAACCCCACCAAAAGCCTCGCTGGCACGAACATGTTGATGCGA